TTCGGAAAAGGCTTTATTTTCTGAAAGATCCCCGTCTAGACTGGCGCTTTTTTCCGGCAAAGCCCCGAGCCGGAAAAAAGCGGCAGCCATGTTTATACAAATGAAGCGGGGAAAATTTAAATCCCCACTGCATTTGCAATTCCGACTTGTCTCATCTGCATCCCTTTTCCAGAAAAGAGGTCCAGTGTAGACACAGCCCAGGTATATGATTGGGCTAGGAGGGATAGCTCAGTGGTTTGTGCATTGGCTTGCTAAATCCAGTGTTGTGAGCTCAATTCTTAAGGAAAGGAGGCCATTCGGGGCAAAAAAATCTATCAGGGATGATACTTGGTCCTGCTATAAAGGCAGGGGACTGGACTCAATAACCTTTCAAAGTCCCTTACAGCTCTAGAGGATAGGCAATCTCCCTTCATTATTATAGATAAAATATTCAAATTCTATACAAATGTGATATAGAATTACCATATATTATTATACTGTATCCCATTACAGAGTTATATCCAAAGGCATAATTTGTTTTTATTTATATACAAATAATATGAGCTGCCAAATCTCTGATCAGAACTAACAAAGATAAAAGCCTCTTGAGCATAATTTCTGTTATGGTAGACTCAGCAGACTTTCTCTGCTCAGCACCTCTGCCTCCTTTCCTCTCTCTCTTTCTATAAAAAATGTTTCCTGTGGGATGATCATCACCTTCCTCCACCCTTATCCCACCACCTGCCTCCACCTTCATCCACATGGCCTCCTTCCTCCTCATCTCCCTGGTGTTCTGGGGGGAGGGAGGATGGGTGCCATGCCACCTCCCTCCTCCCTGGTACTCAGGGTGGGGGGAACCAGGGCTGCTGTGTCGTGGTCTCACCCCAGCGACCGGGAAGACAGCTGGGGCTGCCACGTCATGGCCTTGGCCTTCTTCGGTGGCTGGGGGTACAGAGGCAGGGCTGGCACTTTCATCCTGGCCCTCCCCGGAGGACAGCGGGAGAGAGCTGGGGCTGGTGTGGCCTTGTCCTGGCCCTCCCCAGAGGCTAGGGGAACACAGCCAGGGCTAGTGCAGCATTGGACGCTCTTGCGCAAAAGCACATCGCTTGCACAAAAGCACATGGCAGTGAGGACGTGCTCTTGTGGAAGACCTTTTGTGCAAGAACTCTTCCGCAAAACAGTTCTTGCGCAAGAAACCTGCAGTGTAGGTGTAGCTACACTGTAGTACACCCATAATTTCACTAGAATTTGTTCAGAATTTGTTGTCTTCTACCCCAGACTGTTAAATCTGTGCCACTTGTTTTTGTTCAGATTCTTGCTGCCACAGTTGACAACTCTAAGGTTATCCTGCAGATTGATAATGCCAGACTGGCTGCTGATGACTTCAATTGTCCATAGTGTAGTACAGGACTCACTCCGAATTCTGAAGTATGGAAACTCCAGGGCTGTGTCTACACTGGACCCCTTTTCTGGAAATGCAAATGCAGTCGGGATTTAAATATCCCCCGCTTCATTTGTATAAACATGGCTGCTGCTTTTTTCCGGCTCGGGGCTTTGCCAGAAAAAAGCACCAGTCTAGACAGGGATCTTTCAGAAAATAAAGCCTTTTCCGAAACATCCCTTATTCCTACTTAAAATCAGGAGTATTCGGAAAAGGCTTTATTTTCTGAAAGATCCCCGTCTAGACTGGCGCTTTTTTCCGGCAAAGCCCCGAGCCGGAAAAAAGCGGCAGCCATGTTTATACAAATGAAGCGGGGAAAATTTAAATCCCCACTGCATTTGCAATTCCGACTTGTCTCATCTGCATCCCTTTTCCAGAAAAGAGGTCCAGTGTAGACACAGCCCAGGTATATGATTGGGCTAGGAGGGATAGCTCAGTGGTTTGTGCATTGGCTTGCTAAATCCAGTGTTGTGAGCTCAATTCTTAAGGAAAGGAGGCCATTCGGGGCAAAAAAATCTATCAGGGATGATACTTGGTCCTGCTATAAAGGCAGGGGACTGGACTCAATAACCTTTCAAAGTCCCTTACAGCTCTAGAGGATAGGCAATCTCCCTTCATTATTATAGATAAAATATTCAAATTCTATACAAATGTGATATAGAATTACCATATATTATTATACTGTATCCCATTACAGAGTTATATCCAAAGGCATAATTTGTTTTTATTTATATACAAATAATATGAGCTGCCAAATCTCTGATCAGAACTAACAAAGATAAAAGCCTCTTGAGCATAATTTCTGTTATGGTAGACTCAGCAGACTTTCTCTGCTCAGCACCTCTGCCTCCTTTCCTCTCTCTCTTTCTATAAAAAATGTTTCCTGTGGGATGATCATCACCTTCCTCCACCCTTATCCCACCACCTGCCTCCACCTTCATCCACATGGCCTCCTTCCTCCTCATCTCCCTGGTGTTCTGGGGGGAGGGAGGATGGGTGCCATGCCACCTCCCTCCTCCCTGGTACTCAGGGTGGGGGGAACCAGGGCTGCTGTGTCGTGGTCTCACCCCAGCGACCGGGAAGACAGCTGGGGCTGCCACGTCATGGCCTTGGCCTTCTTCGGTGGCTGGGGGTACAGAGGCAGGGCTGGCACTTTCATCCTGGCCCTCCCCGGAGGACAGCGGGAGAGAGCTGGGGCTGGTGTGGCCTTGTCCTGGCCCTCCCCAGAGGCTAGGGGAACACAGCCAGGGCTAGTGCAGCATTGGACGCTCTTGCGCAAAAGCACATCGCTTGCACAAAAGCACATGGCAGTGAGGACGTGCTCTTGTGGAAGACCTTTTGTGCAAGAACTCTTCCGCAAAACAGTTCTTGCGCAAGAAACCTGCAGTGTAGGTGTAGCTACACTGTAGTACACCCATAATTTCACTAGAATTTGTTCAGAATTTGTTGTCTTCTACCCCAGACTGTTAAATCTGTGCCACTTGTTTTTGTTCAGATTCTTGCTGCCACAGTTGACAACTCTAAGGTTATCCTGCAGATTGATAATGCCAGACTGGCTGCTGATGACTTCAAAACCAAGTGAGTCAATTTAAGGCAAGGAGATCCTGAATGACAGGCAGATAGTCATATCATCATCATTTGGAAAAGCAAATACATTAAGACTAGACAATAAAAATATGGTTTGAAAGTGGACATAGCCAATATACAGTATGTGTAGAGTGTGTTTCACAGCTTCATCAACTAACCTTCATGAGTTGGGTGGATTTCCTCCTATATGTTAGCAGACATCAGTCTATAAAAATCATGCCACAATTAAACAATGTTAACAATGGTACAATATTAATGAGGATACTGAGACTGACTCTGCAGAGCCATTAAAAGGAGCTGTGTAAGGATTAGAAAAATTGTAACACAGCATCCTACAAGGTGAATTTATTGAGTGTAGCGCTGGGGTGGGCAATAATTTTTGATGGGGGCCACTCCAAGAATTTGGTAAGTGGTCAAGGGCTGAACTCTTCTGTGACATTAATGGAGGAGGTACGGGATCTGGAGTGGTCAACAAAGGCTTTCCTTTGTCGACCGCGCCGCATCTAGACTGTCGTGCTGTGCCGGATCAGCTGATTGTCAGCACAGCACAGTGGCCATTTTTATTTTAATGAAGCGGGGATTATTAAAATCCCCTCTTCATTGACTATGTCAAGTAAACTCTTTTACATGGCTCTGTCGACGGAGCCATGTAGTCTAGACACACCCATAGTGAATGACAAGAATTTCTCGGGTGGAAGAAACAAAATACACTTGATGGAATTCCCAAATTACAGACCCAAGTAACTTTGGGTAAATCTGCTAATTACAAATATAGGGCTTTTTATATGATGAAGAAAATTAAAGGCAAAATCCAGTGCCAATAGTAATGAATATTATTCACCTCTTGTTTTCAGATTTTAATAACTCTTGGTGTGATTTGGGGGGTGGTTTTTTTGCTTTTTTGAAGGTTTGAGACAGAGATGGCCCTGCGCATGAGTGTTGAGGCTGACATCAATGGCCTCCGTAGAGTTCTGGATGAACTGACCCTGGCCAGAGCTGACCTGGAGATGCAGATCGAAAACTTGAAGGAGGAGCTGTCTTTCCTAAAGAAGAATCATGAGGAGGTAAAAAAAAAATCACAGTTTAAACGATAACAGATATGTGGAAGGGAATCTGGGATTTCTCGGTGTTATGTTGGACTTTCTAGTAGAATATAAAAAGCCTCGTAGATTCAGTAAATAAAGACTTCCTGCTCCATATATTTAAGAATGGTCAAGCAGAGGTCAGCCGTTGAGGAGAGCTGGTGAATTCCAGAGAGATTTGTAGTGTCTTTAATTAACGCTTGTGTCTTTTTCTGCAATGCTACTATAGGAAATGAATGCCCTGGGTGGGCAAACAGGAGGCCAAGTCAGTGTTGAGGTTGATGCTGCACCAGGTATTGATCTGTCCAAGATCCTGACTGACATGAGAGACCAGTATGAAGTCATGGCCGAGAAGAACAGGAAGGATGCTGAAACTTGGTTCAACAACAAGGTAAAACCATAAAACGGTACAAGGCAGAAGAAAAGAATTTCAAATGTCTGGTAGAAACGGGCTCCTGAAGCCTTTTGTGATTTTTTCAGAAAATCACATTCCATTTTTCAAATGTTTCCCCTGCTTTAGACTGAAGAACTGAACCGAGAAGTGGCTGTCAACACTGAACAGCTGCAGACCAGCAAGACTGAAATCACAGATCTGAGACGCACCCTGCAGGGCCTGGAGATAGAGCTTCAATCCCAGCTTAGCATGGTATGTGACAATTTCTCCCCAAATTTTGGACTTGATAGATGCATGCTGGGACAAGTGACTCCTAATCCAGGGTGTTTCCCTTCTAAAGAACAATCCCGTATTTGGCGAGAGCCTTTGAATTATTTTTCTTCCAACTTCGCTATTTTCAGAAAGCTGGCTTGGAAGGCACCTTGGCAGACACAGAGAACCGCTATGGTGCCCAGCTAGCACAGATACAGCAGCGTATTGGCAACATTGAGGCACAGCTCACTGACCTTCGAGCTGACATGGAGCGGCAGAATAGTGAATACAGGATGCTCATGGACATCAAGACCCATCTGGAACAGGAGATTGCCACTTACCGCCAACTGCTGGAAGGCCAAGGCTCCTAGTATGTAACTCTACCCACTACACAAGATATTTGAGTTTAAGGTTACAGAGTTGTTACACTGACATATATGACCTGTGGAACTCCTTGCCAGAGGAGGCTGTGAAGGCTAGAACTATAACAGAGTTTAAAGAGAAGCAAGATAGTTTCATGGGGTATGTCTACACTACCCCGCTAGTTCGAACTAGCGGGGTAGTGTAGACATACCCCATGAAACTATCTTGCTTCTCTTTAAACTCTGTTATAGTTCTAGCCTTCACAGCCTCCTCTGGCAAGGAGTTCCACAGGTCATAACGTGATCCCTCTCCTGTCATCAATTTCCAGACAAACAGAGGCTAGAGACACCATTCCTACCCATCCTGGCTAATAGCCATTGATGGACCTAATCTCCATGAATCTATCTAGCTCTTTTTGGAACCTTGTTAAAGTCCTAGTCTTCATAACATCATAATGGATCGCAGGAGAAAGATCACATGATGATGATGATGATGATTATAGACCTCTATCATATCCTACCTTTGACTTCAGGTCATCCTAGCTGAAAAGCCCCAATGAAAGACAAAAGACAACAGGTGAATACAACAGAGGAGCACAAGCCAACCCTGGTGTTGGCCACTGTCGGCAGACAGGCTACTGGGCTAGATGGACCTTTGGTCTGACTCAGTATGGCCATTCTTATGTTATTATATGTCTGTGGCAGCTCTGCCCCCACAGTGTGTTCAATTTAAAATACACTTGGGAGACTCTAAAACGTCCAGTGAATGTTTGCAGTATACATGACAAATCTTCAAATGGCAGTGATCACCAGTGGTGTGCAGATAGGAATTACTATTTTGCCTCATATATATTAATTATTACTAGTCAATTTATAATTTGTTTCCAGTAATACTGTGTATTACTAGTATTGTGTCCCGTTCTGGGCCCCCCACTATAGAAAGGATGTGGATGCATTGGAGAGGGTCCAGCGGAGGGCAACCAAAATGATTAGGGGGCTGGAGTAAATGACCTGCAAGGAGAGACCGAGGGAGTTGGGTCTGTTTAGTCTGCAGAAGAGAAGAGCGAGGGGAGATTTGATTGCAGCCTTCAACTTCCTGAAGGGGGGTTCCAAAGAGTTCCAAAGAGGATGGAGAAAGGCTTTTCTCAGTAGTGAAAGATGGCAGAACAAGGAGCAATGGTCTCAAGTTGTGGCGGGAGAGGTCCAGGTTGGATATTAGGAAAAACTATTTCACTAGGAGAGTGGTGAAGCACTGGAATGGGTTACCTTGGGAAGTAGTGGAGTCTCCATCCCTAGATATTTTTAAGTCTTGGCTTGACAAAGCCCTGGCCGAGTTGATTTAGTTGGGATTGGTCCTGCCTAGGGCAGGGGGCTGGACTTGACCTTCTAAGGTCTCTTCCAGCTCTATGGTTCTATGAATACCAACACAATGCTAGATGCTTCTAAAAATAAAAGCAGGCAAAGTCTCTGTCCTAATGAGTTTCAAATCTGAACAACCAAAGAGGCAAGAGTAGAGAAAAAACAGTATGCCATAAGTAAAGTAATCCAAGTGGTAAATGGCTGCCAGTTATACAGTTTCTTAATAATACACTGTTGTTCGTATTGTTTACAAAACAAAACAGATTATCTACAAATAGCTACAGCTGGTTCTTTCTCACAGGCATCACAGTAGAAATAAATCTTAAGGAGGATGTGAATGTAGACCTGTTTACCTAGCTAATTTCAAATAGCAACATAACATCGCCCAGACTTGGTGGCATAACCATCTCTCAGTTCATGTGGCACCAAGGGAAAACATTTTTCATAGTCTGAAACAAGAAAAATCATGTAGGCTTTCACAGACTCTTAAATTTCTCATATTTAATTTATTCCTTAATTCCCTTTTCGGACATATTTTCTGTAGTTTTCCCTTTCTTAAACCAAGGAGCAGAAAAGTCTGTAGGGGAGCTAGCAAGAAGATAAATTCCCCTTTCCTGAGGTTGCAAAGGGTGCCTGATAGAGAGAATTTTCATTCTATCGTCCTCACATCCAACACATGGTATTTGTGATCATTCTTTGCTATAATTATTTTCTTTTTGTGCCACAGGATGTTTGGGAACCTTTATGGAACTACTGGTAAGGATTCTTTCTCCTTATGGGAAGTTTTAAAAGGTGGAGAATTTTTACTTTATAAAAAGAATCTATTGATGAGCTATCTGTGCAATTGTGTTGGTCCCTGTCATTGATAGAAATCAAACAATGAATGCCTTTCAGTTCATTTTGAATTTTTTTTAACAGATTACAGCTATTTGCTCGGGATCTTTATATAGCTGCAGCAAGATACTAACTGACTATATAAAAAGTCAAGCACCCATCGTTATTCCTATGGGTGAGAGGACTATGAAGAAATTCAAGACTGACCAGTTCAGAGCTATTGTGCACACTTTTAAGAATATCTTGCAAAATACTGTAGAAGTGGCACATGCTTCAAATTCAATGTTATTACAGAGAAAAGTTGGGGGAGGTGGCAAGGGGGAGGACAGAGAGCTGAAAACAGCTAAATTTCTTTCTCTGCCTGCTGAAGCTGTTTTTTCACGTTTAACATGCTAGGTTAATCATTGTTCTTTACCTCCTTATTTGCGGCAGGCTCTCAAAGCAGCAGCAAAGGAGGCATGGTGGTGGATGGAAATAACTACAGAAGACACACAGACTATCTTACTCTACAAGAATAAAAACACTAGACAAGCAGGAATTGGTACAGAGGGATACCATCACAAACAGACAGTAGTGCTTTGAGATATTCACTTCTAAGAAATTCTAGACCACACAATGTTCAAGGTAGAATAGAGCCATTAATTTGTGACCTGGGCTAGTTATTCATATATTTCCAGTTCTCCTTTACTATTATTTTTGCTGTTTCTACTGTCTAATAAAACCATCTGATTTATGCAAACTTCACTTCTGTCTGGTTATTGAGATATACCGAATGGATACTATGAATAGCAACGGCAGTAGCCAAATGAAGAGGACTGTGAATGAACTACAAAGTACTCTTGATAAAAACATGGTGAGC